TGTTTACAATTACCACGCACTGTGCCACACACGTCTGTCAAGTTCACTTGCAAGAAATCACTGAGTAAGGGGCTTGTGTACCAGTTATCAGTAAATAACATATGCCCCTTACCAAGATATGGTTCCATCATTGTTCTATCCACATCACCAGAGATACCCAATAACTTCCTGGTATCTCTCAAAGTATTACTGCCAGTGTACACAATGATACCCAAAACTAGACCACTTCTGCAATCACACAATACAAATAACTTTATACCAAAGCGTTTCTTCTTGCTTGGTATATATTGCTTGAATGAGAGTCTTCCTTTGAATAAAATCAAGGACTCGTCAATAACAAGCTTCCTGAAGGGATAAAAATACATACAGCACTTTTGTTTCATGTACATAAACACATTTCTGATCTTATATAACCTGTCGGTTCTGTCAGGCCTGGTTTTGTCTGAAAAGTGTAACATGCGTAACAGTATCAGGAAACGATTGGCACCTATAATGTCTCTAAAACCTGGAGTTGAAATCAGGCGTTCTGTTGCCCAGTATATGGTGACAGTGTGCTTATACACATGTGGCATAAGCATTATTGTGGCAAAAAACAGGTACATCTCTGCCACAGTTGTCTCCTTCCACTGGTGTAGCCGTGATCTTGGTGAGAGAATTGTATTTGCCATTGTGTATTCATAGTATGTGTTGGTTTCCCTGTCAATGATGTCCATCAGGGGTTCATCGAAGAATAACTCGAAGCATTCCAGTTCACTAGCGTTGTTCCCAAGTGGACATGATGGCTTTATTCCACTTTGTGTTTCATCAAAGTCATGGGGACTGGGAACAAACTCGTCACCTTCCTGCCAATCCCAGATGCGGTCTGCTGGTGGGGTCTGGATATTGTAACGTGGTTGTGGTTGTGCAGGTTGTGGTTGTGTAGGTTTTGGGAGTGTGGGGTCGGGTGAGGCTGGTTGTTGTTGTGCAGAGTCAGCAGCGTGGGTAGTAGCATGGCCCGCTGCTGGTGCCACATGGGTCGTGCCACCATCACTATCACCAGCACTGCCTGCTCCCTCGCTCACATCATTCATACCCATCGTAACAATATCGTCATCTTCACTATCAGGTCGTGGTGTAGGGCTATGGGATGTGCTCCCAGAGTTTCTGCTTCCCCTTGGAACAGCATATGAAACACTACCAGACCGCATGCTACGTCGTACATACTGCCGCTTCACTGGGGAATATTCACTCTCACTGTCACAACTAGAGCTGCTTTCAATGACCTTGAAATCACTATCACTATCACATTCACTGCTAACATCTGGGTGTTGTACACAACCAAATAGTTTCCTCTTTCGTCCTGGTACAGGTGAACATGAACGTGAACAAGCCGGCCCAGCACCAGAGGTGGAAGGTTGTGGGTCATCTGGGTTTTCATCACTAATTACATTATCTTGGGCACTTTTTTCGGTCACACTCACTTCAAAACCCTGGAATTCACTGTCACTGACATTTTCATCGCTGTTAGAGCTATCACTTGGGAACAAAAGACCTCCAATCTGCCGAGGAGTGAGGTACTTCTTACTGCGAGGCATGGTGAAAATGGACTACCAAGATGGCGCTCCCACAATGCACCGCTGACTCCCAGATTTTTTCACAGGGTGCACACCCACCACTGAGACCCATTCTCTCTCATGTAGGCCTACCAGGCCTTTCCTGCTTGATTTGAAGCATCTAGAATTTATGCGTATAAATACATCAGAAACAGTGGCTCGTAAGACGTATTTATATGGCGTAAACAGTCAAAAGGGTAAGCAAGTTAAGAAAGCCTAGTGAACAAATGGATATATCAGTTAAAAAACAGTTGGGGAGTTAGTAGATTGGGAGATGGAGGTATTGGGTAGATGGCAAGAATATTTTGAGGAACTTTTAAATGTTGTTGAAAAAAGGGAGGCAGTAATTTCATGCACTGGCCAGAGAGGTATACCATCTTGTAGGAGTGAAGAAGAGCAGTGTGTGAGTTTGGGAGAGGTGCGTGAGGCATTACGTAGAATGAAAGGGGGTAAAGCAGCTGGAACTGATGGGATCATGACAGAAATGTTAAAAGCAGGGGGGATATATTGTTGGAGTGGTTGGTATTTTTTCAATAAATGTAGGAAACAGGGGAAGGTACCTAGGGATTGGCAGAGAGCATGTATAGTCCCTTTATATAAAGGGAAGGGGGACAAAAGAGATTGTAAAAATTATAGAGGAATAAGTTTACTGAGTATACCAGGAAAAGTGTACAGTAGGATTATTATTGAAGGAATTAGAGGTAAGACAGGATGTAGGATTGCAGATGAGCAAGGAGGTTTTAGAGTGCATAGGGAATGTGTAGATCAAGTGTTTACATGGAAGCATATATGTGGACAGTATTTAGATTAAGGTAAGGAAATTTTTATTGCATTTATAGAGTTAGAAAAGGCTTATGATAGAGTGGATAGGGGAGCAATGTGACAGATGTTACAAGTATATGGAATAG